TAATGTAATCTGAATACTTTGGATTACTTGATTTGCTGTAGAGAAGCAAAGACTCGGACATCGTAACATAAGAAGTTTTATCTGTTAAAAGAAAATAAAAAGTCCAGATTTTACTGAACCAAATAAAAAATATTATTGATAGAAGAAGAAGAAACACGTCCACACAGCAGGATTTAGTCCTGTTAAATCCTGATTTAGTCCTGTTTTATGTCTAGTTTAGATTTAGTTTAGTCCTGGTTTAGTGTTCGGCAATGAGTGGAATTACCGAAAAAAAAAAAAAAAATGGGATAGAGCCCAAAATGTGAAAACAGGAAAATCCCTCTGTGTGTAATCCATTTATTTCAACAATTAAAATTATTTGTTGATTATTATTTCAACAAAGTAACTGTAATCCAATTACCACTCACTGAAACAGTTAACTGTAACTGAATACAGTTACTCATCATTTGTACTCTGATTACTTAACTCTGGTACTTGTAATCTGTTACTTCTCCAAACACTGGGCACAGGCAAATAGTTGTTGAAACCAGAACTTAAGAAACAGAACCGTGAGCTTCGTGAGGTGTGGAGCTGAGTCGGTCCTTTCTCCTGCGGTCACCTTCCAGCCCGTCACGACACTGAGTCCTGGTTCAGGTCTGGTTTAGTCCTGGTTCAGTCTTGGTTCAGTCCTGGTTTAGCCCGAGTTCAGTCCTGGTTCAGTCCTGGTTCAGTCTGGTTCTGTCCTGGTTTAGTTTTGGTTCAGTTCGTGGCAAATGCAGCGCAAAAGTTTGATATAATCTCGGGTTAACGGGCAGGTGCTGGGCAGGTGCGGGCAGGTGTGGGCAGGTGGGCAGGTGTGGGCAGGTGTCGGGCAGGTGCGGGCAGGTGTGGGCAGGTGTGGGCAGGTGCGGGCAGGTGTGGGCAGGTGCGGGCAGGTGCGGTCCTGTACTGCGCGGGTGGGGGTCTCCAAAAATGGACCCGTGCGGGACTCTGCGCTTTAGGACTCCATCACGGATTAAATGAATCTTCGGTTCGTTACATAAAGAAGGAGGAAAATAACAAAAGGACGACAGCAGCAATAAGTTTTAAAAGTTATCGTTCGATTAATTGATTTGGATGATTTATTGATTATCGTCACAGGCCTAAGTGGAAAAGTTCACATTTCAGATTTAGCTCTAAAAGTTTGATCAATTCTACACGTGTAGGAGCCGTAAAGTCATGGAAAATTCACTTTAGGTCATGAAAAAGTCCTGTTTTTAAAAGTCCTGGTCTCCGTTCCTCTCAGATGTTTGACGGTGCTGCTGATGTTGTTGTTGTTGTTGTTCTTTGGTTGTTCAGAAGCTGCTCTGTGACGACCGTCTGGTGGCAGGTCTGGGTCTGGAGGTGGAGATGTTGGAGAAGCAGCTCTTGTCTCAGATGTTGGAGGCTCTGAGGGTCACGCCCGGGCTCCACGAGGACCTGCAGGTGGAAGTGATGAAGGTCAGCTCCTCCTCGCTCTCGCCCCGAGCTCCGGCGGGTCCCCGAGAGCCCGAGTCTGACTGTGGCTTTGTGTTTTGTGGACAGGTTCTTCTGTGCATCACCTACTCGCCAAACTTCGACCTGAACGGAGACTCCATCCTCCGCATCGCCCAGGTGAAAAAATATATACAAGGAAACATGTACGAATGTAAAAACTGTTCGAATCTGCTTCTGCTGCTGCTCAGTGAACTGGTTTAGACCTGGTTTAGTTCTGGCATAGTCCCTGGTGTAGACCAAGTTTAGATCAAGTTTAGACCAAGTTTAGATCAAGTTTAGATCAAGTTTAGATCAAGTTTAGATCAAGTTTGTCCCTGGTTTAGTTCTTAGTTTAGTCCTGGTTTTGTCTCTGCTTTAGACCCAGTTTAGTCTTGGTTTAATCCCGGTTTAGACCTGCTTTAGTCCCTGGTTCAATCTTGTTTTAGTACCTGGTTTAGTCCCTGGTTTAGTCCTGGTTTAGACTTGGTTTAGTCCCTAGTTTTGTCCTTGGTTTAGTTCTGTCTTAGACCTTGGTTCAGACCAGCTTTAGACCAAGTTTAGACCAAGTTTAGTCCCTGGTTTTGCTCCAATTTAAAACTGGTTTAGTCCTGGTTTAGTCCTGGTTTATTCCTGGCTTAGTCCTGGTTTAGACCAAGTTTAGTCCCTGGTTTTTCTCCGGTTTAGTCCTGGTTTAGTCTGGTTTAGTTGGTTTAGTCCTGTTTAGTTTAGCCTGGTTTAGTCCTTTAGTCCCTGGTTTTTCTCCGGTTTAGTCTGGTTTAGTCTGTTTAGTCCTGGTTTAGTCCTGGTTTAGTCCTGGTTTAGTCCCTGGTTTAGTCCTGATTTAGTCCTGGTTTAGACCTGGTTCAGTTTTAATCGTCAAATTAAGAACAAAAAATCCAGGTGAGGACAAATGTTTTAAAATGAAAAATAAAAATTAAAAATAAAAAAGGTCTGGAAGAGTTTAGCAGGTTCATTTGTTTTTAAAAAAATAATTATTAGAAATGCACCGATCCAGCTTTTTCAGTTCTGATACTGATTCTGATACTAAGGCTTTAATTAATTTATTTATTTATTATCTAACTATCTACCGATACCCGATATTGACCGATACCACTGCAAAGACTGAAAACAGACTTTATTTTCCTAAAAAAAAAAATACTGAATGGCAGAATCTGTTGTGTAGCTCTTAATTATTTCTCAAGTATTTACAGAACAACTCGGACCAACTCATCCAGATTTACCGTAAAATACCAAATAATCTCCGGTGCGTTTATTTGTTTCAGTCGGTGACCAGACCAGGCTTTTATTTGAGACCAGGCGGTGATCTTACTCAGCAAAACTGGGAAATTATGGTCCTCAAGTCATGACTGAGGTGGTTAAATGTTCCCGTCCTTCTCACCGTGAAGAGGAAAAGGGCTTAGCAATGAAACACACGAGCTGTCAATCAAACCTGTCGCTATGGTAGTGGGAGGGACCTCGGGGAATGAAGGCGTCTGATTGGCCCGTTATTTATGTTCATATCTTGATTTAGGAACGAAATAACAAAATGAAAACACCAGGATCATGTGTCGTGGATTAATACGAATATTTTAAGATGAAAATGACGCGGCTCACAGCGGCAGGTCCAGAGAGACGAGCCACAACATCCCGATGGAAGTCAATGGGAGCCAGAGTCAGGAGGAGCCAGAAGAGCCTCCTGGAGAACTTCTGGACGGAGATACGTGCGTCTGATTCTTTGTTTTGTGCGCGTGTGTGTGTGTAGGTGTGTATGGAGACGTACGAGGCGAGCGGTCACCAGAGGAGCATCAACACGGCGGTCAGAGCCACACTCAGTCAGATCCTGGGAGACTTGGCCCTGCAGCTGCGCCACAGACAAGAGGTACGGCTCATTTTTAATCACGTTTAAACCGGTTTATCTAAATGTGTGTGAACCCAGGAAGAAAAACTGAAGTGAATCTCAAACATGATCCTAAAAACCAAATATTAAAAGTAGAGCCCGACCGATATATCGGTTGATATGGGCAACTTTAGGCATATCGGCTATCGGCCGATATACTTGCTGATAGGGGCCGATATTTCACGTGGGCATGTTATACCTCGTTATAAAGCTTAGACTCTCTACATTCTGTTCATTTAATCCAATTTACAGACAGATAAATGTCCTAATATGTGGCTCCACATCAGTATTTTATCTGTGGAGTCATTTGTGTGTGTGTGTCCGTACTGTCCCTGAACACACCACAGAGTCGCGTCACTCACGTGTGTTTGTTTACACCTGCAGACACAGATCCAAACACTGACATTATTTTCTTTTTACGGACAATCGGTTTGAGTCTGGATTAAAAGGACATTTATTAGTGCAGATTTGTGATGTGAGGAGGAGCCTGTGTGACGCTGAGTGTTGGAAATATGTCGACTTTGAAGCTAGTTTTTGTCATTTGTTATGGGTTAGCTGCTGTAGCTCCCGCACATAAACAGACTGTTTTCTATTGGTCTGTTCTAAAGTGACTATATTGGCCGTATATTTGTTACTGGACCTGCACTGATGTAAATGAGCTGTGAACAGACGTGTGAATTATGACATTTGCGCAAATAATTAATTACCGCGGCGCGCACGTATTTACGGCTAAAGGCTAATAGCGCTACTTTCTTTACTAGTTATGGGTCCGTCGCGAACGAAATGACTCTTAGAACCGACTCTTTGAAGGGAACGACGGGAGCCTGATCCTTACTGGGAGCCGTGTTTTCTCTTTCTCTCACTTTTTTTCTCTTCACGCCGCGTGCAGACTCGTGGTTTGACAGCGGCAGTGGCTAAAAACGAAACTTTGAGAAATTTGCGTGTACGTAGGATTTAAAACAAAAAAACAAAAAACCAGCATATTTGACTGTAGTTTAGCATAAAATAAATAAGTCCCGGTTTAGTCCTTTTTCAGTCCTGCTTTAGACCTGCTTTAGACCTGCTTGCAACAAAACAATCTGAAGAGCCACTTGGGAGCCAAAAGAACCAGCAGCTTTTAGTGAGCCGAGCCAAAAGAGCCGGTTCTCTAAAAAGAACTGGAATCCCCATCACGAGTGTCTAGAATGTGATGCAAAAATGCCATTAGTCCAACTGTCTGTAAATATGATGTAAAGAGGCAGAATAACAATAAATGTTGCCTAAATAAACCCAATTTAAAATCCACCAGAGCCAAACCTAAGTTTTTTAAACAATTCAACATTTACTGTGAATTTTTACATCACTAAATATATCGGCGATTATATCGGCAGCTCCAACTCCCATTATATCGGTTTCATATCGACCACAGAAAAATCCATATCGGTCGGGCTCTAATTAAAAGTCTTATATTACATGAAATTGACTCTTGTGAGCTTTAAATCATGTTCTGATGTTGTTCCGTCGTCAAAAACAGACATGGAGTCGTGTTTTGTTCACACGTGTTTGAGTAACTCTTATTATTAGTCTGTCAGAATGCTCTGTTCCACCTTGTGATGTCACGAAGTGGTGGTTTTCAAGTGAACAGCTCCTTTTACCGGAGGTGGGACCGAGTCGTTGTTTTGCGAGTCTCGAGTAAATCTCAAGTCTTTGACCTCAAGTCCGAGTCAAATAGAGGCGAGTCCAAGTCGAGTCTCGAGACACTGGTCCATAAGTCCAAGTCAAGTCCAAGTCGTCTGCTTTGAGCTTCAGGTCATTTCAAGTCCAAAGCGTCAAATAAAGCCTAGATTTTTGCAATTTATATGAATTTTAAACAGTATTGTATATTTATATATGAGTATTTATATAAAAGTTGTAGAAATGCAATTTTTTTCCTTTTTAAATGTCTTGACAAGATCTTAGTGTGAATTATTACAGTCAGAACAGAAAGAATTCAGATTTAAAAGACCCGTTTATGGTCGTGCAAACTAATAATAATGTTGACAAAAGCGTAAAAGTTTATCGTTTATGATCGAGCAAAATAATAAACTACAATGAGAATTTTTTTTTTAATGTAAGGATTATTTGTTTTTCGTTTATGGTCGTACAAACTGATGCTAACATGAATGAAGGCACAAAGGTTTATCGTTTATCATTGTACAAAATAAAAGTTAATGTTAAAAAATTTTTTTAAAGAAGAGCATGTGTTTAGTTGTTAATAGTTTTTTTTTTTTCCCCCATTTCATTAATTCCGCCCTCACCCACCACCCCCCAGGTCACACATACACAATACAGGTTATATATAAATAACAATCTGCATTTTTATATATTTTTTTTCCCTTTAGACCATTTGTACCAGTGGACTCACACTAAATTAGAAATTTGCCTTGACCCCCTCTTGAAAAGGCTGTAAAGTTAGAATGATTTGAGAGATTTTGTATATTTGATTATAGATTCCCAAACAGTATTGACAGTATTTTAATTGATTATATTTCATTGACCTCCATCCTCTGTTCTTCTTGGAGACCTGTGTGGTGTGTTTTGGTTTTGTGATTAGACCTTTGTGTTTGTCTGGTCCTCAGGGAGCGGATGGAGATGAGGTGACGGCCCCACCGCTGCAGAGGAAAGGTACGAACACACAACACACAACACACAAGACTCTTCACTGTTTCATCTGTTTAAAGGTTGTATGGAGGATTTTTTTTGTGTTTCAAATTGTCAGTGATAGATTATAGATGCAGTCGCCTTGTAATTATGATGACCAAAAAAAAGAGAATAAAAATTCATCAACTCTGGACGTGGTGGGGCTAAACATTTGCCAATAGATAACGACACTGCCTCGTTATCTGTGAGCTGACAGGCTGTCAATCAAACTCCCTACGTTTCTAGTGTAACTGACTTGTCTGCGCCGCCGGTACATGGTTTACGTACGACTGTCACGCAGTCCACAGACGCAAGACGCACAGAGACGCTGTTTTACTCCACCAACGCAACAGTTCTTAGCGGCTTTTTTTTACCTATATCTTCCTCGCAGTTCGCACAAAGTTTGTTGCGATGGCGACAAGAATCCAGGAGCAGTTGGCCGCAAAAGAAAGTCCGTTTTTGAGATTGCTGAAAGAAGAAGACAAGGGGAAAAGCAGCGAAGCCAAACTAAGGTGATTCTTGTAGATTCATTCCAGCGATGGCGCGACTGAAGCAGACGAAGGGTCTAAAGACTGAACCACTGGTCCACAAATTACTCCTGGACAGGAAACTTCTGCTTATTATGAAAACGTACTTTATTTCCAAGAGCTGGACAAACATTTTTCAGGACACGAAAGTGATATCCTATGTCTGAAAACGTCATTTTCAAGGCAAAGAAAGAGTCCGCTTGCTGCTGCGTGTTGTAGTTAGTTCATTCGCACTGAATCTCCGCGCAACCTTCTCTGCACCCCTTTCCTGCTCCTGTCCCCGCTGCCCGATCCACTCTTCCCCCTCCTCCTCACTTCTCCAGGCACAGAATCTCTGCGCACCGCTCCTCTCTCCTCTCTCCTCTCCCTGCTCCTCACTTCTCGTCCGCGCACGAAAATGTCCGCGCACTCGCTCCCCCCGCTCCTCACTTCTCCGTCTTGCCTCACCAACACTGTAGTTAGTTGTTTACAAGTCATGTGCACCGGCTGTAAACAAACCTGTTTGTGGCGTAAGGAGGAGGAGGGAGGAGGTGTTTCTACGTAGGAGCTGTGGGGGAGGGGAGGTGGTTTCACGCAGGAGCAACATTTGAAAAAGGACAAACAGTCGCTGGATTTCTCCTTCCTTGGAAAATCCTCTATACAACCTTTAAGTGATTCCTAAAGGATTTTTCTTTAAACTGATCCAACTGTGTAAAGTCGGGTTTACACTGTGTGATTTTTGACCCTTTTTGAGCCGATGTTTCACTCGTGCGACTGTTTTGGGGATCGAGTTTTGGCTTCATCATGTGTCGAGCTTCGTGTCGTAAACATGAGGTAAAGAAAACCCACTAATCCCTCACGACCAGCTCCAGATCGACATTCGTAGGTCGTAAGAAAATCAAACTTCAACAAATCCAGTCGCCTCTCGTGAGGGTTTCGCTCTGTTGAAGTCGTTCCACGAGCCAGAATCTGTCAGAATCTGTCAGACTGAGCATGTGCGGACACAGAAGCAGAAGCAGGACATGAGGTTGTGGAGGACGATGGCGCCGGCGAGAGTTTTGGACACAGGACATGGAGGAGCAGCTGATCCAGCAACACAGAACACAACGTTTGGTGAAAAACTTGATGCTTCTTACCTCCAGTTTCCTCTGAAGAACTGACAACCCGTACTGCCCACGCCCGCCCACGTCTACGTATGTTTGCCCACATCTACCTACGTCTGCCCAAGTCCACCCACGTCCGCCCACGTCTACGTATGTTTGCCCACGTCTGTCCACGTCTGCGCAGACATTTCTTTGACCAGATTCGTCGTCTCTTCTTTTTGTTCTTGTCTGTTGGAGAACGACACAAATTGCCAAAGGCGGCGCGTCTGTTTTTTGTCTGGATCATTGTGTCTCCGCTCGTCTGTGGTTTTCTACTTCTTGGTTTTCTTCTTCTGGAACATCATCTCCAGTCGTTATGTGATCGTACAGTGTGCACAGGCAGGTCGCGTTCACGTTTAAACCCTCTGTTCGATTTGGTCGAACAGTTTCAACTGGAGCTGAGTGACACGACCCAAAATATCACACAGTCTACGGATTATGGAGGTGTTACTAAGTAAGTTACCGCAGAAAAGTTTGTATGAATAAAAGTTCAAACATTCTGATTCTTTCTACGACCAGTAATTACTCTTATTACATCAAATCATATATATCGACTGAACCGATATTTGGAAGCCGATATCCAGTATTAGTCCATTTTTCAGTGTCAGATTGCTGCGTTTTAACTTCTGTTGAAATCCTCCTCCAGGTTTTTGAGGAACGTGCTGTTAATAAAATGTTGTTTATTCTTAAAGCGAATATCAGATTCAGAGATTATTAGTATTTTCTGAACTTTTGCTGAAGGATAAAAAGGATCATTACGACTCCGCAGCACAAATATGAAGGAGCTGAAAAGAAACAGCAGAATCTAAAGTAAAAGTGTATTTAAAACGACTGAACTGAACTGACGAGTCTTTGTCTGTTCGCAGACGTTTCCCCGACGAGTCAGGCTCTGTGTGAGGACGTGGTCACCGTGCTCACGGTGTTCTGTGAGAAACTCGAGTCTGTGGACAGGTACTGCACCTGTCACACTGCACCTGTCACACTGCACCTGTCACACTGCACCTGTCACACTGCACTGCACACTGCACCTGTCACACTGCTCCTGTCACACTGCTGTCACACTGCACTGCACACTGCACACTGCACACACTGCACACTGCACACTGCACACTGTCACACTGCACCTGTCACACTGCACCTGTCACACTGCACCTGTCACACTGCACCTGTCACACTGCACCTGTCACACTGCACCTGTCACACTGCACCTGTCACACTGTCACACTGCACCTGTCACACTGCACACTGTCACACTGCACCTCCTGTCACACTGCTCACTGTCACACTGTCACACTGCACACTGTCACACTGTCACACTGCACCTGTCACACTGCTCCTGTCACACTGCACCTGTCACTGTCCTGCACACTGCACACTGTCACACTGTCACACACCTGTCACACTGTCACACTGCACCTGTCACACACCTGCTCACTGTCACACTGCTCCTGTCACACTGTCACACTGTCACACTGCACCTGTCACTGTCACACTGCACACTCCTGTCACACTGCTCCTGTCACACTGCTCACACTGCCTGTCACACACTGCACCTGTCACACTGCTCCTGTCACACTGCTCCTGTCACACTGCTCCTGTCACACTGCACCTGTCACACTGTCACACTGCACCTGTCACACTGCACCTGTCACACTGCTCCTGTCACACTGCTGTCTCCTGTCACACTGCACCTGTCACACTGCACCTGTCACACTGCTCCTGTCACACTGCACACTGCACTGTCACACTGTCACACTGCACCTGTCACACTGCTGTCACACTGTCACACTGCTCCTGTCACACTGCACACTGCACCTGTCACACTGCTCCTGTCACACTGCTCCTGTCACACTGATCCTGTCACACTGCTCCTGTCACACCGCTCCTGTCACACTGCACCTGTCACACCGCTCCTGTCACACCGCTCCTGTCACACTGCTCCTGTCACACTGCACCTGTCACACCTGCTCCTGTCACACTGCACCTGTCACACTGCACCTGTCACACTGCTCCTGTCACACTGCACTGTCACACTGTCACACTGCACACTGTCACACACTGCACACTCCTGTCACACTGCACCTGTCACACTGCACTCCTGTCACACACTGCACACTGCCTGTCACACATACTGCATGACACATGCACAGGTGCTGCTCCTGTCACACATACTCATGAAGGACAGAGGCAGATTTACATGAGTGTGTTTGTTTTCTACACGTTCACTGCAAATGTCTCTGATCTGGCCAAGATTTGAAACCTTCTATCAGGTTATTCATGTTGTTTTCAGGTTTATTTTCGACTTACTAGACCAGAGATGCTTCGTTTTGGTCTAGAGGTCGTTTATTTTAAGAGAACCTGTCAAGTAAAATGATTTTGCTGCATGGACACATCATTTCCTGACAGATTGAAGTGTTTTATCTTCACTTTTGGACACTGTCTTTGCTCTGTGAAGTCTGAATGACGTATGAGTGTGTGTGTGTTTGTTTTCTCCACAGTGACAACCCTCTGCTGCAGCTCTTGTACCTGGAGTGTATTCTGTCCATGCTGAGCAGCTGCCCTCCCACAATGCACCTGTCCAGAGGCTTCACTGACCTCGTGTGGTGAGGACAGATACAAACTCACGAACAGAAGAGACGTTTATGGAATCATTTAAGTGCCACCACAACATTTTTACAATCACCAAACCAGTGTCTTTAAAACAGTTAAACCAAATCCAGATCAGGTCATAAAGTGAAGGAGTAAATGTCAAATCTGTGTATATGATTTATTCAGCTAACAGGAATAATTATAGCACATAAACAATACATTAAGTTTTTTTAAATCCAGTAGAGTGTCGTACAGAGAGCCCGTCTGCTGGAGAATCATGTCTGTTTTCTTCACGTGTCTTATTTTCATTTCAAATATAAAAGTTGATGTTATCACTAATACAGACTGTTGTTTTTGTGCAGGAAGCAGCTGTGCCCGTCCCTCGTGGCCATCATGGGGAATCCCGTCAACGACAAAACCATCACTTCACACCACGGCCACACGGGGGCGCTGGAGAGGGACAGACTCACTCTGGGTAAACCTTATACTGTGCTCAGACTGCGGCGTCAAAAAAAGCGCTGGACGCCTCTAGTTGCATTTGAGTTCAGACTCCCCTGACTCTGGACGCCGTGGACAAACAGGAGAAAAATACTTGGTGCGTGTCCAGGGCGTCGCTGTGGTCTGCGAGCGCCTGGTTTTCCCGTCGGGGGAGTGACTTTAGTGTATTTATTATATAAAACACATCAGCGAAGGCGATTGGCGGTTTTGGCGTATATATACTGTATTTATTCTCCAGTAATGACTCGGTGTAGATTTCTTGTTCTGGTTGTTGTGGCTCCTGGGTCTTTCTTTTTCTTCCGGGTAATAACGTTGCTACGTCACTGGATACTCGTCCCTGATTGGTTGATGTGGCGCATCCGGTGCCAGAAGTTCAGCTTTTTCAACTTCTGATGCCGACGCCCTGGACGCGCCGCGTTGACACTAGATTCTCGCCGCGCTGACGCCTGAAAACGAGCCGCAAAAACGCAGGACGTCCAAGACGCTCGTCCATATAGACTTATATATACTTTGCACTGTATATAAACTTTTTCCATATAGACCAGGGGGGTCCAAACGTTTTTCATCAAAGGCCTAAATCTAAACACAGATGAAGCAGAGGCTGATCGAGGGACGTAGACTGGTGCTCAGTACAGTGAATAATTGCATTTTGTGCATGATTTAAAACATTAGTATGAGCCATCAGTCTTTATTCGTGCTAAGATTCTCAAAACCAAACACTAAATATTCAATATTCGTGTTCCAAAAAACTTGCAGTAAAAATAACATTTTTAATTGATGTAAGGTAATTTGGGCCAATTCGCCTGGAAGACTTAGGGCCAAGAAAAATTTGTCCGAGGGCCGCATTTGGCCCACGGGCCGTAGTTTGGACATGCCTGATATAGACTTTGTGTGTAAACTGGACGCCTTGTCGTCACAGTCTGAACACAGTTTTATACTGACATTATTATTCCTGGTGGAGGTTCACCACCTGCTTGTCTCCATCAACACAAACTGGTAACACAGTTAATGCCACATTGTGGAACATTCTTAGCCAGACTGGTGCCTCCTAGTGCCTGTGCTCAATTTCATTTCTAACCAGCGACTAGGTCAGGATCAGAATGCACGAGACGATTTAGAAGAACCCTGGAAGTTGTAGACGACTCACCGGCCAATCAGCTGTGAGCTGTGAAGTCTTGACGTCAAACTCCAGCTCCTGTCCAACCCTGTGATATCAGACTGCAGACGCTTCCTCCTTTGGACTTCCTTTGTCAAAAACAAACTTTGCATTTTTTATTCCACATTTAATTCTCAAGTTCATCTGGCAGAAACGACAGTGTTCTTTGACAGACGTGTTCACTCTCTGCTCTGTTTTGCAGTTGTGCCGACGATTACTTGGACACCACTGAACGTCCCGGCGCATTACATACGTCACGACCAAACAGCAGCGATTATTGGTTTGGTTAAATAAAAAAAGTACTCACCTATTGTCCAGCGAACAAATCCTAACACTGCGAGGTCACATGGTTTCCTCGAAGTGAAACCGGCTCATGAATCAGGGCTAGAACATTCCAGACGAAGCAATAACATCTGGAGACAAACATTTGGCAGACCACCCCAAAAAAATTACACACTACTGCATCTCTAATTGTACTTAAATTATTCACTGATTATTCATGAATTACGCTCTTGGCAGATAGAATGTAAGAAACACTTGTATTTAACATCTCAAGTTGTGCTAAAGTAATTGCAGTTACTTAGAGGTTGTATAGAGGATTTTTTTAAGGAAAGAGAAATCCAGGGACAGTCCTTTTTCAAATGTAGTGCATGCGTGACACCACCTTCCTCCTCCACAGCCTCCAGAAATAATTTAGAGACCAACACCTCAGTTTTTAGACCCTTTGTCTGCTTCAGTCGCGCAGTCACTGAAAGGAATCTCCAAGAATCACCTCAGTTTGTCTTCGCTCCTTTTCTCCTTCTCTTCTTCTTTCAGCGACGTCAAAAACTGACTTTCTTTTGCGGCGAACTGGTCCTGGATTCTCGTCCGACATCGCAACAAACTTTATGCGAACTGCGAGAGAGAAAAAGCCTCTAAGACACAGGTGTCAAACATAAGGCCCGGGGGCCAAGACCTTTAATCTGGCCCTCGGCTGATTTTCTACTAAAGTATTTTAATTATATTTTCTATTAAAATATTTGTAATTTTCTGCGTTGCTGAGCATATCAGCATCTCCAGCGCCTCTGTACGTGGCCCCTCCCACCAGAGCAGCACAAATGAAGACTTGTCTCTTTCCAAACGCTCTTAAAGGACGATCGTTTTGACTGTTGACCGTGACACCCTCATCAGAAAAATGTCCAACATGAGAAAAGTGGAGCCGAGTGCAGGATTTTACAACAAAAATGGACTTATTCCTGTTTACAGACAAGTTCATGTTAAAACATTGTGTTGAAATTGCATTTTTCTTAAAGTTTCAGGTTGTTCATAATATTATAATATTTTGTAAAAGAAAGAGTTCATCAATTCAAAAAGATTTCTCTAATAGATTTGTGTTTCTCTGCACAAATATTTGAACTTCTTGTTATTTTTAAGGTTTATATGACATGAGTTTTCCGGACACTTTAGGATCAGATTGGTTGGATACAGCCCCCGGACCAAAATGAGTTTGACACCCCTGCTGCATAGTTGCCTTAGAAATGTAGGGAGTTTGATTGACAACCTAACAGCCAATAGAAAATGAGGCAGCCTCGTTTTCTTTTGGCTGATGTTTATCTGGCCTCAACACGTCCACAGTTGATAGATTTTCTTTCTTTTTTTTTGGTCATCATAATTACAACGCTGCTGCATCTCTGTAATGGTATTTTAAACTTTCATTGACAATTTGAAACAAACAAAAAATCCTCCATACAACCTTTAAAAGAGGAAACTTCCTCTTCCTCTCTCTCTCTCCTGAGCAGTGGGCCTGGAGCTGGACTCTTCCTCCGGGGGGGTGTCGGACCAGGGCAGAGGTTCGGGCTGCTCCTCTAGCGCCCCCTCCATCACGGCCCCGGTGGTGCGCACCGTGTGTTACATCGCGGCAGAGCTGGTGAGGCTGGTGAGCTGCGTGGAGTCAATGAAACCTGTTCTCCAGTCGCTGTACCACCGGGTCCTGCTGTACCCGCCGCCCCAACACCGCACCGAGGCCATCCGCATCATGAAGGAGGTGCCCACTATACACATACTATACACACACACACACACTATACACACACTATACACACACTATACACACACACACACACACTATACACACACACACACACACTATACACACTACACACACTATACACACACACTATACATACACACACACTATACACACACACACACACTATACACACACTACTATACACACACACACTATACACACACACTATACACACACTATACACACACTATACACACACTATACACACACTATACACACACTATACACACTATACACACTATACACACACACTATACACACACTATACACACACCACACACTATACACACACTATACACACACTATACACACTATACACACACACTATACACACACTATACACACACACACACACTATACACACACACTATACACACACACTATACACACACACACACACTATATACACACACTATACACACACACTATACACACACACTATACACACACTATACACACACTATACACACACACTATACACACACACTATTACACACACACTATACACACACTATACACACACACACACATACACACACACACTATACACACACTATACACACACTATACACACACTATACACACACACTATATACACACACACACTATACACACACACTATACACACACTATACACACACTATACACACACTATACACACACACTATACACACACTACACTATACACACACACACATATATACACACACACACTATACACACACACACACACACTATACACACACTATACACACACACTATACACACACACTATACACACACACACACACACTATACACACACACTATACACACACACTATACACACACTATACACACACACACATATACACACACTATACACACACATACACACACACTATACACACACACTATACACACACACTATACACACACACACACACACTATACACACACACTATACACACACTATACACACACACACACTATACACACACACTATACACACACTATACACACACTATACACACACTATTCACACACAATACACACACATAATATACACACACTATACACACATAATATACACACACTATACACACACTATACACACACACACACACTATACACACACACTATACACACACTATACACACACTATACACACACACTATACACACACACATACACACACTATACACACACTATACACACACACTATACACACACACACACTATACACACACACACACTATACACACACACACTATACACACACATATACACACACACACACACACTATACACACACACTATACACACACACTATACACATACACACACACACACTATACACACACTATACACTATACACACACACTATACACATACACACACTATACACACACACTATACACACACTATACACACACACTATACACACACATATATACACACACACACACACTATACACACACACACACACTATACACACACTATACACACACACTATACACACACACTATACACACACACTATACACACACACACACACTATACACACACACACTATACACACACACACACACTATACACACACACTATACACACACTATACACACACTATACACACACACACACACTATACACACACACACACACTATACACACACACACACACACTATACACACACTATACACACACTATACACACACTATACACACACTATACACACACTATACACACACTATACACACACACACACTATACACACACACACACTATACACACACACACACACTATACACACACACACTATACACACACACACACACTATACACACACACACACACACACTATACACACACACTACACACACACACACACTACACACACACACACTATACACACACTATACACACACACTATACACACACTATACACACACACTATACACACACACTATACACACACACACTATACACACACTATACACACTACACACACTATACACACACACTATACACACACATTATACACACACTATACACACACACTATACACACACTATACACACACTATACACACACACACACACTATACACACACACACACACTATACACACACACACACTATACACACACTATACACACACTATACACACACTATACACACACTATACACACACACACACACACTATACACACACACACACACACACTATACACACACACTATACACATACACACACACACACACACTATACACACACACTATACACACACACACACACACTATACACACACTATACACACACTATACACACACTATACACACACATACACACACTATACACACACACACACACTATACACACACTATACACACACACTATACACACACACACACACTACACACACACTATACACACACACACACACACTATACACACACACTATACACACACACTATACACACACATACACACACTATACACACACACTATACACACACACACACTATACACACACACACACACACTATACACACACTATACACACACACACACACTATACACACACACACACACTATACACACACACACACACAGTATACACACACACAGTATACACACACACTATACACACACACTACTATACACACACTATACACACACACTATACACACACAGTATACACACACACTATACACATACTATACACACACTATACACACACACTATACACACACACATACACACACACACACACTATACACACACACTATACACACACACACTATACATACACTATACACACACTATACACACACTATACACACACATTATACACACACATTATACACACACTATACACACACACACACACTATACACACACACTATACACACACATATATACACACACTATACACACACACACACTATACACACACTACACACACTATACACACACTATACACACACTATACACACACTACTATACACACACTATACACACACTACACACACTATACACACACACACACACTATACACACACACTATACACACACTATACACACACTATACACACACTATACACACACACTATACACACACACTATACACACACACTATACACACACTATACACACAGTATACACACACAGTATACACACACAGTATACACACACACTATACACACACTATACACACACTATACACACACACTATACACACACAGTATACACACACAGTATACACACACTATACACACTACACACACTATACACACACACATTACACACACACTATACACACACACTATACACACACACTATACACACACACATTACACACACACATTACACACACACTATATACACACACAATACACACACACTATACACACACACTATACACACACTATACACACACATTTGTTTTGTGAAATATCTTAAAAGGTTCGTGGGAAGTAGTCACAACCAGGCAATCACTATTTCACATCAATCAATGCCAGCACACAATGAAGCTAGAGTGAACGTGTCTGTCTATTCCCCGCTTAACATTGTTACAACAAGCTAGAATAAATGTGCCTGTTTATTCCCCGCTCAACATTGTTACAATGAAGCTAGAACAAATGTGTCCGTTTACTCCCCGCTTAACATTGCTACACACACAATGAGGCTAGAATAAATATGTCCGTTTATTCCCCGCTCAACATTGTTACAATCATATCAATCAATCAATGGGTTTAAGCATCAATCATCACACAAACTGGCACATAAGAAAATCAAACTCACCGTTGACACTGGGCTGGAGAGCCAACAACCCACGGCAGAGTGGCTTAAACCCGGCTGGGCGTTCGTACGCAACCCGCAGCAGACTCTAAAGTGGGTGCTTTCCCTCCGCCTCTATATATTCTCTTCATGCACCTGTGCGTGCAGAGAGGGCCAGTCTCCACCGCGCACACATACATGGAGGCGCATTCCTGTCCCATGTCCAGTCTTTTGAAACTGGCAATGGGGCAGGGTGCCCTGTTTTTCGTAAACACAGTGTCCTTGGCACAATCCCCACTAGAAGATAACGAGTTGTATAAGCATAATATTGACTTCGTGCAGGCATGCAGGCCTAGTGAATTGGTCTCAGGACCATCTTATATGTTCCCACTACACATTATACACACACTATACACACACACTATACACACACTATACACACACTATACACACACACTATACACACACACTATACACACACACTATACACACACACTATATACACACACTATACACACACACTATACACACACACTATACACACACACACACACTATATACACACACACACACACTATACACACACTATACACACACACTATACACACACACTATACACACACACTATACACACACACTATACACACACACTATACACACACTATACACACACTACACACACTATACACACACACACACTATACATACACACACACACTATACACACACACACTATATACACACACACTATACACACACTATACACACACAAAGTCTACGTTCAGACTGCAGGTTTAACGCTCAATTCCGATTTTTTTGTGAAATCTGATGTTTTTTCAAGGTCGTTCACATTTCCAGTTAAATGTGACTTGTATGTGTCTCCAGTGTGAACATTAAACGGTCCAAAAGTGTCCCACATGTGACACTGGAGACACGACGACGTCAACCGCAGCGAGCGTCTCTGTGTTTACAGAAGTTGTCCAAACATGGACGCAGCATCGAGCACCTGGAGATTTTAAAGTTCCTCTCGTACCGGAGCCACAACATGAAACAACTGACTTGTTTTAAGGAGGAGATTGAGAAGCAGAAGTTGAGGTCTATAGAAATGAACATGAGGGTGCAGAGTCTCAGAGTGGAGGGTTCGATCTGTGAGTTCAGACACAGTTTTCGTCTGACGAGAAGAACGTTTGTGCACATTTGTCAGGGCTTATTTGTACCAGAATCGAGGAGAAGGAAGCGAGGAAAGAGAAACGAAACTCAGCCGACCAATTCTCTGTCGTGATGTCATGATTTTCAACCAAGAAGTAAAAATTTAAACCTAAAAAATGACCAAACTGAGCTTTTTTTCCATATTTTCTTTTGGTAAAATCTTAAATCTAATGAATGTAACTGTGTTTAAGTAAAATGCGTACATCAAACTGTCACTTTAAACGTTTCGCCGTGTAGAGTAATCTTATTTTGAAGTTAAATTACTCTTACTTCAGTACTTTTTTGTCTTCTCTAAAACCTCTGCTCGACTTCTGCTCTTTGAAAACTTTATTTGAAGTTTATTTTACAGTAAAATGACGCCCAAAATCCCCCAGAACCAGACAAAGACTCAAGCTGCGTCTCATTTCTCTTTCCTCGCTTCGTTCTCCTTGATTCCTCGATCCTTCATTTTTCAGCTGTGGATCGATTGTGTCGTGTTTAGCGGTGTCCCGAAGAAAACCACGGAATGAAGGAGTAAACTTGAGGGAGGCTTCAGAAGCAGAAGTTAGAGAAAAGAATCAAACTTTATCGGTCTCAGTGAGGAGTTTAGATCCTCTCCTCTCTGTGTCTCCTTTGTGACTGAGACTGCGGGACTTGAGGAGAGGAATGGAGGAGAAGGAAGCGAGGAAAGAGAAATGAGACATGGTCATCATCTCAATCTAGAATCTGAAAATGACCAATATAAGAAACATGACCACCACCACCCACTGACCCCACAGACTGTTTGTGTTTGCAGATCTTGGGCAGTCCTCAGAGGCTCCTGGATCTGGCCGGTCCCTGCGTGGCCGAACCGGAGCCGAGGAAGAGGTCGTTCTCCAAGAGGAAGTCCCACCTGGACCTTCTGAAGCTGTGAGGCCTGCTGCATGTGCTCGTGTGTGTGTGTGTGTGTGTGTGGTGGGGCGCTCCTCATGGTTCCTCTGTGCTCCTCAGGGTGATGGACGGCATGAGCGAGGCGTGCGTGAAAGGAGGCGTGGAGGCCTGCTTCTCCTCGGTGTCGTGTGTGTGCGCCCTGCTGGGGGCGCTAGAGGAGCTGTCGCAGGGACGAGGGATACAGCCTGAGCAGGTGAGGACAGACTGCACAACGCGGGAGGGATGATAAACTGCAGTCCCCCAAACTAAATATGAGAGTAAAGTAAAATATACAAATGAATGTAAGAATATCATGCATAATTTGTGCTGGATATTTTATTTGGCATTAATAAAAACATTTTAAGCAGCAGACGTCACGCGAAGACTCCCCCCCATCCCGTACGCCACCGCGCGAAGACTCCCCCCCACGCCCGCGAAGACTCCCCCCCCCCGTACGCCGCCGCGCGAAGACCCCCCATCCCCGCCGCCGCGCGAAGAGTCCCCCCCCATCCCGCCGCCGCCGCGCGAAGAGTCCCCCCCCACCCGCACGCCGCCGCGCGAAGAGTCCCCCCCACGCCCCGCGCGAAGACTCCCCCCCCATCCCGCCGCCCGCGCGAAGACTCCCCCCCCCAAGACTCCCCCCCCATCCCGTACGCCGCCGCGCGAAGAGTCGAAGAGTCCCCCCCCCCCCATCCCGTACGTCGCGCGAAGAGTCCCCCCCCCGCGAAGAGTCCCCCCCATCCCGTACGCCGCCCGCGCGAAGACTCCCCCCCCATCCCGTACGCCGCCGCGCGAAGAGTCCCCCCCCCCCCCATCCCGTACGCCGCCGCGAAGAGTCCCCCCCCCCCCCATCCCGTACGCGCGAAGAGTCCCCCCCCATCCCGTACGCCGCCGCGCGAACTCCCCCCCATCCCATTCCCGTACGCCGCCGCGCGAAGAGTCCCCCCATTCCGTAGGCCTCGCGGAGAGCCCCCCCTCGTCCCGTACGTCACGTTGGCTAAACCAGGGCTAAAACCAGGTCTAAAACCAGGACTAAAACAGGATTTAGCCAGGACTTAACCGTGCCGCCGGACCGCCCACCACGCCTCTGCCCATACGCAGCTCAATTCCTTTCCCTTCTCTGTGTTTGATGGAGCTTAAGAAAGCAAACGTTCCCATCCTGCGGGATTTGCGGGCGAGCGCGGGACAAAATATCACAGATGCGGGCGGGAGCGGGACTGAAAATTACCATTCTTCCACAGTGCGGGAGCGGGACTGGAAAATCTGTCCCGCGCAGACCTCTAGTACAGACCAACACTGAAGCCTCACGTGTGCCGTACGTTCTGGCGTGTTCTATTGAATGTTGGTACAGTCGTCCCTCGGTATATCGCGGTTCACCTTTCGCAGTCTCACTGTTTCGCAGATTTCTTTTTTTTACAGCATATGAGTGTATTGTGTTCCTCCCCCTCCCCCTTGGACAAGGAGACCCGGAGACAGCTGACCCCCAGAGCAGAGCCGGGCCGCTAGTAGTATGAAATAAATCAAATAAACAAAACCGTCACAAAATAAATTAGTAAAATATACCAAAAAATACTCTTGGCGATATTTCCATACAGCAGCCATACTACTTTTTAGCATCTTCGAAAATCAAAAGCGTATCCGTAACGTTGGCAAGTCAAGTTTTATTCTTTTATTTTTAATTTTATTTGTTGTTTGTCCTCTTTAAATGAATCGTCTGCGTTGGACGGGTGGGTGCAGGCGCGGGTGCTGCTGCGGCGTCTGGACGAGCTGAAGGAGGGCACAGAGTCCACGCGCGAGTCCATGGAGATAAACGAGGCGGACTTCAGGTGGCAGAGGCACGTCCTGTCCGCCCAGCCTCCCCCCTGGCACCCGAGCTCCGAGCCCAGCCCCGACATCAGCATCAGCATCACCACCGAGACCGGCCACACCACGCTCGACCTGGAGGGGGCGCTGGAGCACACCACGCCCGAGGAGTGCGGCGAGGAGGTCTGTGTCCCAGAGAGAAAGAGATGATTAAACAGGGTCGGGCAATATTACAGAAATATTACAGTCATTAAAAAAAAAGCTACCATCTGTAAATTTATTTGATTTTTGTTACCTCCTCAAAAACAGACCTGGAGTTTTGTTTTGTTTAGTGTCGTGGGACTCAAGGCCGGTCTTGGGTCTTGAGACAGGCCTCGAGACCATTTTTTTTTTAGAATATTGGTCTTGTTACGGATTCGAGCGCATTTGGACTTGGCCTTGTCTCGGTCTTGAGAGCGCTTGGACTCAATTTTGTCTCGGTCTTGTTACGGTCTTGAAGGTGCTTGGACTCGGTCTTGTCTTAGACTCAAAAGAGCTTGGACTTGGTCTTGTCTCGGTCTTGTTACGGTCTTGAAGGTGCTTGGACTTGGTCTTGTCTCAAAGGCGCTTGGACTCGGTCTTGAAGGCGCTTAGACTCGGTCTTGTCTTGGTCTGGAAAGGTGCTTGGGCTCGGTCTTGGCTCGGGTCTTTGGCTTGGTCTTTGTCTCGGTCTTGAAGGCACTTGGACTCGGTCTTGTCTTGGTCTGGAAAGGTGCTTGGACTCGGTCTTGTCTTGGTCTTGAAGGTGCTTGGACTTGGTTTTGTCTCAGTCTCGAGGTCTGATACTCAAGGAGAACGATTATATTTCATTAAGGCCGCTGCTGTTTTCAACAAACTGCACTGGTTTAGTCTGATATAAATGTGCCAAAATAACTGTAAAATACAAATAAAATAAATGTCGAAAATTACAAAGATGGTCTTAATTTGGTCTCAGTGGAAAGTGGTCTTGGTCTTGTCTTGGTCTGGACCTTTAAAATTCTTGCTCTGGTCTTGGTCTTGTCTTATTCTTGATCCTCAAAATCTTGTCTCGGTCTCGACCCTCAGAGGTCTTGGTCTTGTCTCTGTTGGGACCTTTAAAGGTCTTGGTCTTGTCTCGATTTGGATCTTTAAAGGTCTTGGTCTTGTCTTGGTCTCGACCTTTAAGGGTGTTTTCACACCAACAGTATTTGTTGCACCAAACGGTCCATTCGAACCAAAAGTGGTTAGTTCGGTTCGTTTGCGTTGGTGTGAAAGCGTCAATCGGACTCGGACCCGAACCAAATCAAGCGACCGAGACCTCAAAAAAGAGGTGGTCTCGGTTCGCTTGAATCCGCACCAAATGACCAACTTTGGTGCGGTTCCTCTGGTGTGAACGCGAACCCGGGTCCAAACCATAGACAGTATGGACAAACAGACTATTCCAAATGCATCATGGGAGAAACGCGTCTCCTCTGCCTGAAATGACGCTGTACGACTCCAGCGCAGTAACAGATTGTTGTCCAGACGCAGACGCGATTCATTTTCGAATTATTTTACCAACAATGGCCAATACAGAGAATGAAACACACGAAGATCAGAGCAAGTATCAGTGTGCGAACGTGTGGCTCCAGAGTGAGTCAAAATTGGGGGTGTGTCCCCCTGTTCAGGACCTACACGCACAGAGACGACCCGGTGTCCCCCGTGATCACACAGCAACCAACATTTGTTATTTTAGGCTTTAATTAACCAAATAATTTCATGGCAATAGGCAATCGCCCATTCAATTGATACAACTTTAGAAAGTCCCTGTTTTTAGCCTAGTGTGAGAAATACAGTCGGACTAGATCCAAACCAGAGTCCCGAACCAGCGGGGGCAGGTCCAGTTCAGGCCGGGCTCAGAGGAGCTGGAGCGGGGAGCCTCGACCTGAGGAAGCGCTTTCCCTGGGAAGAACCAAATGCGCGGAGGACGGACGCTCAGAACAACATATAACAAACCAAACTGGACTCACGCTTCTGTCCGGATGCTGCACCACCTCGGAACCAGCCGTGGTTCTTGAGCGCAGAGAACCGGAGCAGCGCCCGGACCTGTAGTCCACAGCACATTCTTGCTTTTCAAGCACAGAAACAGCGCGCAGACGACTGAACGTACCCGCTCGGACTCAGTCCATCAAGCACTGGTCTTGCTCGCCACCGTTTGGAACCAGCACATGGAGGACAGAGCCTCCGGACCATCTGACCAACGAGCTTGTAACAGACCAAGGACCAGACCCCAGCCCCGTCCTGAGGAGCTGTTGGCTGCTGCTGTTACCCGAACTCTGGGCTGATGCGGTGAGTTTGTACAAAGTTCTACATGTTGCTGTTTTATGAGTTCATGGTGATAATTTGAGATGAGGACGGCCCGCGGTATTAACAGGAACATCGGTGTTGATAACTGGAGTATCGCTGTTTTACCGGGGAAACAGAGACACGTCAATCGAACCAGTTTTGGTTCGTTTGCCGGTGTGAACGCGGACACACTGGAGTCTATTTGCTACATAATAACAATTTTATTGCCTGGTGCGACCAAATAATCGAACTAGCGGTGTGAAAACGACCTAAAAGTCTTGTTCTTGTCTCAGTCTGGACCCTCAGAGGTCTTGGTCTTTTCCTGGACTCAGGACCCTGTGGTCTCAGACTGGTCTTGGTCTCGACTGAGTAACACTTTATTATTCGTCTGTCTACGTCTCCAAAGCTCAAACTGCTCTGTTCCACCTTGTGATGTCATCAAGTGATAGTTTTAAGTTTACAGCTCCTTTTCTTTTAAATTCAGTGGAGATTGATAATTCCAGGGCTGATCAGAAAATAAAACAGGACTTTAAATATGAGCTTTTGCAGTTTGATAAACAAATAACACAGATTTAAAGGAACAAACTTGCAGCAATTTCATGATTTATCTCTTTTTTTTTTTCTTTTTTTTTTATATCAAACCCTCCCGTCTCTCCGGCAGGTGCGGATCCCGTCCCCGTCGTCGTGCCTGAGCCAGGACGAGGAGGCCCGGAGGCAGCTGACCCCCCGAGCGGAGCCGGGCCGCGGGGGGGAGGAGGAGCGACCCGACGGGGACAGAGACAGACCGGCCGCCGGAGGAGGAGGAGGAGGCATCGTTCCTCCGGACGTCCTGCAGAGGAGCCACGGCCTCGTCTACCCCGACATCACCAACTTCCTGTCCGTGGAGTCCAGGGGGCGGGGCTACCACGGGGCGGGGTCGGCGCGCTACAGCGAGAGCAACTTCAGGTACGAGAGAAATACAAGAAAATATTACAACGGGTTTTTTTTGTTTCAAATTGTCAATGAAATTTCAAAGTAGCATTATAGAGACACAGCTGCCTTATAATTATGATGGCCAAAAACAAGACTACTTCATTATCTGTTAGCTGACTCGCCGGCGCTCTGGGATTACGTGGTTTATAATCGCTTCTCACACATTCCGATCAGTTCTTAGCAGCTTTTCCAAACTGTAGCTTCCTTGCAGTTCGCACAAAGCCAGAACTGATCCCAGGCCTGAACCAGGACTAAACCAGAACTGAACCAGGACTGTCAGGAGGGCTCAGAGGTGCGCCCGTATAGACCGTCGGGTAACCACAGGCGAAAGGACCGGCACAGAGCTCCACGCCCCACTGGACTAAGCGCTGCCATCGCCCGATCGCGCTTTGAGGACACCCTCCTCCACGGGCTTGGGGGGTTCTCCTCTCGCTCAAGTCCTGGTTTAGTCCTGGTTTAGTCCTGGTTTAGTCCTGGTTCAGTCCTGGTTCAGTCCTGGTTCAGTCCTGGTTCAGTCCTGGTTTAGTCCTGGTTCAGTCCTGGTTCAGTCCTGGTTTAGTCCTGGTTCAGTCCTGGTTCAGTCCTGGTTCAGTCCTGGTTCAGTCCTGGTTCAGTCCTGGTTCAGTCCTTGTGCGGTGCTAAAGTCCAGCATCTCGATCGATGTTTCTTCAGCTCGATAAATAATGTCTGTGAAGTGATGACGTATTTTTGACAGTCGAGTCGCGCCTGAGGATTCGTGTTTGTACTGAAGAAAGTGTAATCGTAAATTTGTAAATTTTCATTTCATGACAGTAGTTCTTGATATTGTAACTTTTAAATTCTGATGGATAAAATACACAGGACACATTTTATGTTTGACTGGACTCATTCGAGAGTTTATGAATATTTATTTTATGCTCAACTACAGAAAAATATGCATATTTCTGAAAGCCCCACACTCGCTCCCCCCAACCCGCCGGGTACCTCTCAATCTGGATGATTTTTCAGATTTTGCTTAGGGGTGGGGAGGGTATTTAATGGCTCTTTAAGTGTCTTGCACAAGGACAGCATTCATCTGTGGGAGCTGGCATTGCACCGCCAACCTGTGGGTCAGTCAATCTGACCGCTCAACCAATGATTCGAAACGCGAGTCTTCAGATCGGTGGACAAACGCTCTACTAACTGAGCTACTGTCGCATGATGGTTTATTCCTGCCATGACAGAAATAACAATGCGCCAAAGGTTTTGTGAAAGATGCGAACAAGTTTAAACACCCGAGCTTTAAAGGTTGTATAGAGGATTTTTTAAAGGGAAAAAGAAATACAGCAACAGTCCTTTTTCAAATGTTGTGCATGTGACACCACCTTCCTCTTCCACAGCCTCAGTAGAAACACTCCTCCTCCCGCCGCTTTACTTTAGAAATCACGTTTGTTTACAGCCAGTGCGCGTTCAGAATCACTGTTGAAGTTTCCTGTCTAGAAATAATTTAGCGACCGGCACGTCAGTTTTTAGACTCTTTGCTTCATTCACGCAATCGCTGGAAGAGATCTCCAAGAATCACGTGTTTGGCTTTGCTCCTTTTCTCCGTCTCTTCTTCTTTCAACGACCTCAAAAACGGACTTGCGTTTGTGGCGAACTGGTCGTGGATTTTCGTCCGACATCTCAACAAACTTTGTGCGAACTGCGAGGAAACTACATTTTAAAAAAGCCTCTAAGAACTGCTGCATAAACCACATAATCCCTGCGCATCAGTTACACTAGAAAGGCAGGGAGTTTGACAACCTAACAGCCAATAGAAAATGAGGTAGCCTTGTTATCTATTGGCTGATGTTTATCTGCCCTCATTATGTCCACAGATGACAGATTTTCATTCTTTTTTCTTTAATCAACATAATTCCAAGGCTGCTGCATTTCTGTAAGGGTATTTTAAACTTTCATTGACAATTTGAAACAAAAAAAAAAAATCCTCCATACAACCTTTAAGATTTGACTCTGCACAGACTCTACGTTTTGTCCTGTGATGATGTTTTGTGATCAGTTTTCTGTGTTTGTCTGTTTGTGGTCAGTATGGAGGAGCAGGACTTGTCTCGCACGGAGCTGGACTCGTGTGACCAGTACTCGATGGCGGCGGAGAAGGACTCGGGCCGGTCCGACGTGTCCGACATCGGCTCCGACAACGTGTCCCTGGCCGACGAGGAGCAGACCCCGCGGGACTGTCCGGGTCACCGCTCCCTCCGCACCGCCGCCCTCTCCCTCAAACTGCTGCGCCACCAGGAGGCCGACCAGCACAGCGCTCGCCTCTTCCTCCAGTCGCTCGCCGCTCTCCTGCCTCGTCTCCTGGGGCTGCCCACGGCCTCCGAGGTGGACTCCAGTCTGCAGAACTTCTCCTCCACCTTCTGCTCCGGGCTGCAGGCCGGTACGTCACGTCCTGTCCAGGGACCGGTCAGAAATCTCATTTCAACTGTGGTATTACATTTTTCTCATCTTTTTATCTTTGCACACGTGAATTCTGAAACATTAAAACTAGTGCTGTCAGTTAAAGAGTTATTAAAGAGTTAACGCAAAACAATTTTAAAG